TAGATAGGGCCTAAAACACTGCAGGGATGAACAGGGCAGAAATAAGAGAGACCACAACGGGAGAAAAATTACTTTCTTTTGCCTCAGATATATTGAAGTAATGTTTGGAGGCCCCTGATTCAAGCGGGAACTCTGGTAGCTGGTTGGGAAGGTTGGTGTGCTGCCCTGTTTCTGGTTCCCTGTGCACAGTAGCTGCATATCGTACAGGTTTTGTTACCCAGCATCTCTGAAAGTGCAATGCAACCTCTACTGTTATTGTCAGAAAGCCACAGTTGCTGTTGATTTAAATTTAAGTTGATTATATTATTAGCAATGTGAATAGATGAGAGAGGTGTACTGAAGTCCCAGTGTCCTTTGTCTGTAAAGCCAGTTGTTGCTAAATCTGGTTGGGTAGAAGGTGCTTGCTCTCATCTGGACTTGGTGGGATGCAGTAAATCCTTTGTTGTGTTTTCGCCTAGTGTGGTCTTAGCTAGTATTTCTGCACTTTTCCAAGCCTTTTAGGAAAACATTTCCGCAGAAATATTTCCATTCAATTGAAAGGAAAGGGTTGTTATTTATTTTTGTCCTCTGTAACAGATCTAATCCTGTAAGGGGCTGAGCAGTGTCACCCAATACTGAGGTGGAGGGATCTTTGCATGTGCAAACTCACTCGAGATACTAGAAGGATTGTCCCTCAGGACATCCAGGCTATGTAGAATATTACTTGTTTAATTTTGCATTCAGATTACAAAGTTGTTTTTTCCTAACTTTAGCATGATTTTGTTTTGTCTTGTTTTGTTTTTCTGTCTGAATTTGTAAATAGACTTCTGCCATATGTAATTAAGTATGTGAAACTGATGAAGAATTGTTTATTAGATTTTATGTTTTAGGCTTAGTGCACAAAATAAGAAGGGGAAAAAAGAATGGTCAAACTCTTAGTTCAAAATAATTGAATAATGAAATTGTTGACTGTAATTACTTTAAATGTAATTCACATAGATTCAACTGGAAGAATTATCGAGGAGGGATGTATAGCAGGGCTGTCAGGACAGGAAAAATAGATACCACTAAAAAAGCCTACACTGCCTCTTCTATATAATGTATTAAATTTATCTTAAAAGCAATTCTCTGATAAGTACATACCTGTACTTAAAGAACAGAATCCCTTCCTTTTGCCTTTACAGCTCATACCGGCACAGTTTATGCAGTTCATGAATGTCAATAGCTCAGAGAATTCCTAGGTTAGCAAATATTTATTTATTTATTTATTAAAGCATTTAGCCTTGTAGTCTGAATTTTCAGTAAGTTATTAAGCAAATGCACTATCTTCAGGACCATGGTTTATGTCAGAGTTTCAAAAATGCTTTAAAAAATTTTGCAACTTCTAAATATGACCTTATTTACCTGATTTTAGATATTTCTATCATCATTTGAATCATTAACAAAAAAAATGCAGGCAAGTATGACAGCTCAAGCAAAAAGCAGCTAATAAAATACAATTTGAAATATGGAAAGCAAATGGCTCTCTCACTAAGTAATTTGGGGGAAAAATGTGTTTGCATAACTAAAAGAAACTACAACTTTTTTCTTTTTTTTTCTCCTAAATCAAACATTAGACTCCTATCAAACACTTACTGATCTATTAACAAATGAAGTTAAACCTGGCAAAGTTTGCTGCTTTTTTGATTATATCAAATTGAGGAAATGTCTCTTTGTGCCTCCAAGTCAAGACTGTTCCAGTGGAATCCATGTAAATACATATTTCTTCACTGCATACTAATGCAAAAAATATGCTTATGGTTAACTATTAACCTATGCTTCCAAATAACACTAATGATTGCAATGTGGTGGAATAAATGCTCATGTTTCATGGGATGAGAACAGTCCTGTTCTCTTAAGCTTATCTAATCAAAGCCTAATCCTGCCTTTACAGCCTTTATTAAATGCATTGGTATTTAATATGCATCAATAAATAAACTTTCAATTATTGTGCAGTGAGCATATCCAAAGATAGCATGACAATGCTATCTAATGCAATCTAGCAATTATTCCAAATAAAGAATGTTGATGATGTGATTTTCCCCCCTCCTCATATAATGGATAGTTCAGATTTTCTGGCATTCCTCTCCAGCCTCATAACAAGGCAAATAAATTAGTCCTAGACAAATAAAATTCAAATAATTGAATTTTTATACCATCTAAATAGATGTCCCCACTGTGACTTAGAGATAGAATTGTTTTATTTAAAAAGCCTTAAAATGTATTCTAAATGAAAAGATCAATTGGTGATTTTTTAAACAGTATGTGAAAAGTATTTGTTATGCTCTGCCCTAGTGTATTATCTCTTTAAATAGTCTTCCTTTACAAGCTGTTAAGACAATGTGCCAAAAGTGTATTCATTAACTACAGTACAAGTACTAGCTCAAATGGTCTGCTTCATCCATGTCTGTTTTCCCTTCTTTTACTAAAGTTTCAGTACTGCTTTAATTCATTCTTTGCTAAGAGTCTTTCTCATGGTATCCATTCATTAGAATCTAACGAAGCATCAATCTGCTCAAGTTTGTGTGCATCTCTGTAACAGAAGCTTTCAGTGGTTTGGTAACCTTATAAGTCCCTAATCACAGAACACAGACAGTTTGTTTGTTTGTTTATAGGACTAACGCATCCATAGGTCTATTAGGCAGTTTACATTACAGGAATATTAATATTCTTTCATTTTAAAAGGGCTTGAAGTAAATCCCATGACACTAGAGAAATTTTAGATACTGATTACTTACAATTGGCTCTTGGTGATTTGTTCTCCAGATTTCCAGCTGAATTTAACAAAGTATGATTTCTGAAAAGACTCTCATGGTTCCTCATTAAAATTACATTTTTTTCATATGAGCATGATTTCTATAATTTCACTCAATTTCATGATACATTTACCCTCTTTGAAAGGCAGTGGCTGAAACATCAGAAACAATTAGTAAAAAAGATTGTATTAATTCTAAATGAAAGAAATAAATCTGCCAAAAAATCAGTCTCAGAACTGCATTTGTCAAAAACGCTTCTCTGAATTAACTGTTATAGGGTAACTGTATAATTGTTAACAGACATTTTTCTCGAGTTGTCAAAATGTTTGAAAAATGAGAGAGAAAGAGAACACTCAGAAAAAAAACAAAAAAACACAAGTAATCAATGGCATGCTCATGTGGACTGAGATTTGCAGTACTTGTACTAATAAAATATAAGGCACAATTAGAGGTACTTTGCAGCTTTCAGGCTAAATTTAACCGATTTGGTGATTTGTAAATACGTGAGTCCAAAAATAAAAATGAAGAATCCAAATCCAAATTAGTGCAACTGCAATAAAATATAATTGCAAATGAATCTGTTGCTTTATTCATTTATTGTGTAATTACTGCAATCCTTCCCACCTTGTTTTCAGTATTTCTTAATCATTAAGTCGGAAGCATGACAGCAGTGCCAGCCCTGGCATGATTCTCTTTGACTAAAACCTTGTAAATTAACACAATTAGCACAGCATCATCCTGCTAATTAACTTCCAGTGTCTGGTGCAGTGGTTTTGCAAACAAGGAAGAGGGAGTCAGAAGGGAATAAACATGCCATTCTGTTACCAAACTGTGTGCTGTGTTAGGTTTAGCTCAGCGAGGCTAAGCTGGCCATGTCAGATGCCAGAGTCAGGCAATGAAGAGCTAAAGGGGTTGGGGAGAGAAACAGGAGGGGGTAGGAGCTGTCAAAATAGACTGCAGTAATTCAGAGGGGAGCTAGTGCCACAGATGCTTCATTTCGACTAGGCCTCCTCCTTATCAGGGAATCTGTGCCAGAGGGCACAAGACTGTTTGCAAAAATCACTTTTGGTAATACGAGAAAGATTAAGGAGGTCTATTTGATACAGCTGTACAAAAATCAGCAATGTGCCTACCATGCATAGGTAAGAGTTGGAGGGGGTTATCTTAATGCTTGTAAATATGCACAGTGGATTACTGTTAGGGGGAATAATTCACATCACATTATTTGCAAGATTAATTGCTTCAAAATGGCAGTTGCATCCTGTAATTTATATATAGGTAGTTTATTTTTTGTTTGTTTATTCGTTATTTTATTTATTTTATTTTATTTTTAATAATCAGCTCTGGAAGACATGGAAGTTTTAGGGACTTACCTTCATTCCTTTTTCTTCATTTTTTTTTTTAAACCCTCTTTCTTTGTACCCTGGAGGCTGTTTGGGGGGGGGGGGGAAGGAAAAAAGAGAGAGCAAGCAAGGAGACCGACAGACAAGTCATGCTTGTTTTTTTTTTCCAGAGCCTCAACAACAGAACTGAGAGGCAGAAAGGAGCCAGTTGTAATTCATACCGAGTTGTAGGCTTTGTGTGATGAAAGCGACGGAGCGCTGCCTGGGAGATTGCTTTGCTGCACTCCACGAAGCAGATTTGAAACTGTCGTGGACCACTTTAGATGAGAGTTGGATTATGGAATGACCTGCTATGTCTGTGTCATATTGTTCTGCGCAGGGTGCATTATACTGTGCTAACTAGGTGTTCAGTACCAAATAAGAGAGGTATCCTAGATGTGATCTGTCAGCTGTGTCTCATATTTTTATATTGGTTAACATATAAAACTGAAACAGTGATGAGAGAGGACAGAGCAGTTGGGTACCTTGTATGTTATAAATAAATCTGCACTCAGAGTATTTAAATTGTACCTACTCTTATTTAATTACTTTGAGAAATCTGGCACTACCTATATATCTACCTTAAAACCAAAAAATATCCCCCCCCTACTGAATCAACATTAAATGTGCCTCAGTGTACATGTGCCTATAAAAAAAAACAGTCTGACTGTTTATAGTGCTTCATCAGGGCATTGTATGTTTTTTTCTTTAAGGGTTTGTGATGTTAAGTACAGTGTTTCAGAGAGCTGAAGAAGTTAACAGGTGGTACACTCAAGAACTTGCTTAAGATGTTTAGGAAAAAGGCCAAGTTTGCTGTTAACTCTGTTTTTCCCTGCTGCCCTAGGCTTGAAGATGCAGTGGACGCCGGAGCATGCCCAGTGGCCAGAACAGCACTTTGATATCACTTCCACCACCCGGTCCCCTGCCCACAAGGTGGAAGCCTACCGGGGGCACTTGCAGCGCACCTACCAGTACGCCTGGGCCAACGATGACATCTCAGCTCTCACCGCCTCCAACCTCTTGAAAAAGTATGCAGAAAAATACTCCGGTATATTGGAAGGCCCGGCCGAGCGGCCCATTCTCAGCAATTACTCTGAAGCTCCCTCGGGGCTGGTGAATGGTCGGAAGAATGAAAGCGAGCCCTGGCAGCCTTCACTGAATTCAGAGAGTGTGTATCCCATGAACTGTGTCCCAGATGTTATCACCGCCAGCAAAGCCGGTGTAAGCGCAGCCCTCCCTCCCACAGACGTCTCGGCCAGCATTGGGAGTTCACCTGGGGTGGCCAGCAACCTGGCTGAACCCAGTTACTCCAGCAGCACCTGTGGAAGTCACACTGTTCCAAGTCTTCATTCAGGGCTCCCATCTCAGGAATACGCCACAGGATACAATGGCTCATACTTGCATACCAGTTACAGCGGCCAGCCAGCACCTGCACTTCCGTCCCCTCATCCGTCCCCCCTGCATAGCTCGGGGCTTTTACAGCCGCCACCACCACCGCCACCACCACCAGCCCTGGTCCCCGGCTACAACGGGACCTCTAACCTCTCCAGTTACAGCTACCCATCTGCCAGTTATCCTCCTCAAACTGCTGTTGGCCCTGGGTATAGCCCCGGGGGTGCCCCGCCACCTTCAGCATACCTGCCATCAGGAATCCCTGCTCCGACCCCGCTGCCCCCCACCACCGTCCCCAGCTACTCTTACCAGGGCCATGGTCTGACTCCCATTGCACCGTCTGCCCTGACAAACACTTCAGCCAGCTCTCTCAAAAGGAAAGCTTTCTACATGGCAGGGCAAGGAGAAATGGACTCCAGTTATGGAAATTACAGCTATGGCCAACAGAGATCTACACAGAGTCCCATGTATCGAATGCCCGACAACAGCATTTCAAATGCAAACAGGGGGAATGGTTTTGACAGAAGTGCTGAAACATCATCCTTAGCATTTAAGCCAACAAAGCAGCTGATGTCCTCTGAACAGCAGAGGAAATTCAGCAGCCAGTCTAGCAGGGCTCTAACACCCCCATCCTATAGTACTGCTAAAAACTCGCTGGGTTCGAGATCGAGTGACTCATTTGGGAAGTATACCTCCCCAGTAATGAATGAGCACGGTGACGAGCACAGGCAGCTCCTTCCTCACCCAATGCAAGGCCCGGGACTTCGTGCAGCTACCTCATCCAACCACTCTGTGGACGAGCAACTGAAGAATACTGACACACACCTCATTGACCTTGTTACCAATGAGATTATCAACCAAGGACCTCCCGTGGACTGGAATGACATTGCTGGCCTAGATCTAGTAAAGGCCGTCATTAAAGAGGAGGTTTTATGGCCAGTATTGAGGTCAGATGCATTCAATGGACTGACTGCTCTACCTCGGAGCATCCTTTTATTCGGACCTCGGGGAACAGGCAAAACGTTAATGGGCAGATGTATAGCTAGTCAGCTGGGGGCCACGTTTTTCAAAATCGCTGGCTCTGGCCTTGTCACAAAGTGGTTAGGAGAAGGAGAAAAAATTGTCCATGCCTCCTTCCTTGTGGCAAGGTGTCGCCAACCCTCAGTGATTTTTGTTAGTGACATTGATATGCTTCTTTCTTCTCAAGTGAGTGAAGAACACAGTCCAGTAAGTCGGATGAGAACCGAGTTCCTTATGCAGCTGGACACTGTACTGACTTCTGCTGAGGACCAAATAGTAGTAATTTGCGCCACAAGTAAACCGGAAGAAATTGATGAATCTCTTCGAAGGTACTTCATGAAACGACTTTTAATCCCACTTCCTGACAGCACAGCGAGGCACCAGATAATAGTACAACTGCTCTCACAGCACAATTATTGTCTCAATGACAAAGAGGTTGCACTGCTTGTCCAGCGCACAGAAGGCTTTTCTGGACTAGATGTGGCTCACTTGTGTCAGGAAGCAGTGGTGGGACCGCTCCATGCCATGCCAGCCACAGACCTTTCAGCCATTATGCCCAGCCAGTTGAGGCCAGTTACATATCAAGACTTTGAAAATGCTTTCTGCAAGATACAGCCTAGCATATCTCAAAAAGAGCTTGATACATATGTTGAATGGAACAAAATGTTTGGTTGCAGTCAGTGATACTACTTAAAAAAAAAAAAAAAAGTAATGAATGTTGGCACACACAGAACCTGCTACATAGGGTAGAGAACCCTTTTCAGTAGTGTTAAAATTGCAAAGGGTACTGGGAAGACTAAAATTTACCTTGCCTCTAAAGAGCCAGGGTAGACTTGAAGGAAAAGCGCATCAAACAAGAGCTGCTGATCTGAAAAAGCCACACATGACAGAAAGTGCATGTTGATGCTCAGTTCTGTTCAAGCTAGACAATACTCACCAAGGAGCAAGGTGCAAGTGGGTTGATTTCAGAAGGACATGAACCCTGTGTGTTGATTCCATTCTGCTGTTCTTGAGATTTAGTTGCTGTCAAGTGCCTGAAGTGGTGCTTTATTTTTTGTTTGCCTCACAATTACATTGGTGGCATGTGCTAATATAAAGAGCTTTAACTTCAAACATTATTGGACTAAAGAGATGAACGGTTGTGTTGCGACAGAGAACCAGATTTTTGCTATTCTAAGAGCAACAGTATTCCTCAATCCTGTCTGTTCTGTGGTGTTAAACTAAGAACAGGTAAAACAGGGTAATGGTAATCTGGACCTTAATTTCTGCAGTTCATTTCTTTTAATGTTCTGTCTGCAAAAACTCAGGAAAGTGATTGTGATTTGTACAGTACCTCAAAGGAATGTGTTGAAAGCACTATGTACTGCTGAGAGTTATAGGCTAGGCTTCAATGTTACTTTATATTAAATATGTATGTTTACCTCAACAATTGGAAAATGGCAAGGAAAATTACTTTGAATGTATCCAGGAAAAAACTAAAGTGTGATATGACTGAAGCTTTACAGTTTTTTTTTGTTGTTGTTGTTTTGGTTTTTTTGTTTATTTGTTTTGTTTTATTTTGAAATAGAAACAGAATTTCCTAGTGTTAAGAAATGGTCCTTTTGCCAATTTGTCAGATCAAACCAGAACGATTTTTCTTGTTGGTAAACTGTAAGAGTTTTCAGCATATCACTCCTTGATAATTACGTGATACAGTCTTTAGAAGGTGCATAGATGAACAAAGAGCCACTTAATTGGTTTAACAGCTGAAACAGTCAAATGTAAGATTTAGTAGGACTCTGAGAGGCATATTACCTTAAGCTGTGACTGCTTACACGGCTCTGGTCGTGGTTTTGAGGTTATTTTGGTGGAGCTGTAGGGAGTGGAATCAGTGTAGGTCACTGCCAGAGCTATGGGTTGCAGAGCTGTTTATAGCAATGCAGTAGACTGTGACCAAACAAACAGTACAAATAACAAAGCAAAAACGAACCCTCAAAGTACATTTATTTTCATTCCTAAACTGTAAAGTTGAGTTTTTGTTGTGTGCGTACAACTCCATTGTCCTTAATGCAATCTTCATTTAGCATCCATTAGAAATCTTCCAGGCTGGAGTGTGCCCACCATTATTTCTACCTCAGTTTTGTTACATTTCTCTTGGAAAGCAAAATAAGAAATAGGGCAAAAACCAAAACCAACACAGAAGTCAGATTACATTAGGAATGTGAACCTGCTAAACGAGTTTCAGAGAGCTGCTGGTTTTCCCCTGAAGTCAATTTTTCTCTATGCTAGTGCTCTTTATCCCCCTTTTTCCTCCCCCAAATACACATATTCTGGTGTCTTCCTTCTGGAAAGACAAGCTGGCATGTGTGGCATTTTGCTCAGTTCCTCTCCCATCCTCCCCCCATCTTTCTTTTTATCCTTTAATGCTTTCTGTACAACTCTTTTTGTGACAGCTGACTGATGTTGGGTAATGTCTCTGAGCAGGAGCAGTGTACGTTGCAGCTGCCCAAAGCCTCTGCCATCACGTGAGCAAAACAGCCTTGCTTTTTTGAATGTATTTTTTGTTTGTTTACTTTAAAGAGACAGTAACAAAACTGTTGTGAAGCACTGGCTTTTAATGTTTCTGTTAAGTAATGTACATTCAAAACCATTGAATAAATGCACTGAAAAGCCCCAAGAAGAGAGATACCAATCTGTTAGTAGATCATGCTTGTCTTCTCAAAAATTGTACAGATCTTGTCTGTTTTGTTAAACCAATGGAGACATTTAGCATTCAGAAACCTAATGAGGGATTTTGTGATATTGCTGGAAATTTATGACTATTGATTACTACTTTCCTTTATCTTTCTTTTAATATATATATATATATATATATATTTAGATAGAACATGCTAAAAAACAGAGCAAATAAACCAAAATCTAATTTAAGATGGATTCCTGGCAAACATTTTGTCTATCTAAAACTTTATGTTTTAAGCATAAAAGTACCATTTTAAAAACAGTGCCTTTCATGAAGGATGTAGAAAGTAAGATTTAAATACATCACCTGCTTTTTTTTCTTTATTTCTTTCTTTTATTTTTTTTTTCTCTTTTTCTTTTCAACAGCAATTAGAGTCCATGGTCTTTGTTAATGACCTAGTCTTTCTGCTTCCCTAAACCTCCACAGGCTGCTTCCTCATCCTGGTCATTTCACCATCCTCATATTTGGGAGATCCTGATGTCCCCACTAGCGTAGGTTCATGCTGATTACCCTGGCAAGTACACTATTGCAGATCGCTGACCCAATTTCTGTCTTAGACATTCCCTTTTGTAGCTGCCATTGAGCTGTGCTTGTTTGAAAGGCTCAGGCAAGTTTTGATAAACCAACTCTTGTTTAAGCCATTTCTGCTAAAACTGTACTCCTAACAGATTTTGCAGCTGGTAAAATTAAGATTACCCCCCATGTGATTTTTTTTACCTCTTTTTTTTTTTTTTTTTTTCCAATAACAAACCTAAAAGCAAATTAAATTGTAGTTGGTCCCTTTGGCTTCCAGCTTTAAATCATTCTCTTTAAAAAGTCACTCTGGAAATGGATTTTTCAAATGTTAACCAAAGTGACAAGTGGGCAGGAACTGAGATGGTGTGAAAATGCAGCTTCCACACGCACACACGCATGCTCACACTCTCCAGGCTTGATTCAGCTTTGGGGCATCAGAAGCTGAAAACTTCACCCCATCACAACAGCAGCTGCAAGGAGTGGAGGACAGAGCCAGACTGTTACCCAAATCTTTTCTTACCAGCAGCTATCCTTGGCGTCACTCAGGAAGGGTGTCTATAGAATTTGGCAAGATCTTGGCTTGGTACTGTTAACAGGAGATGCCTCCATCTTTTCTAGCAGTTTATGGCCACCTTAACTCCTTTGACAGAACTTTCACCAACCCAGGGGGCTCAGCTGGCTGAACTCCCCACCACGTACTCTTCTTCCTTCTGTTTTCCTATCTCCTCCCGCATTTAGCCCTGTTTTCTCCCTAGTGAGCAGGAGTTGGCACGCTGCTGTTCCTTCGTCCCTCTTGGCAGCCTCCTCGTCAAGGAATGCCCAGGAAGGGCTGAAGCATGATGCTGAAGCTGAGTCCCCCTGAACTTGAGTGAGTCCCAAAGGTTAGGACTGTTTTTGAGAAGAGAGACAAAGTATGTTCTAATGGTATCCTCAGGATGAAATACTAGCGAGTTTTTGACATACCCATGGTAGAAAGCTGTTTGCTGTCTTTAATGACTGGGCAAAGTCAGGGTCTGCTGCCACAGAAACACCCGGTGGTTTGCTGGATTTTAAGGAACGTTAAATGGTTAAAAAGCAGCTGCTGTGTCAGCTTATCACTGCAAATGCTTTGTGTAGTATTTTTATGTGTGGATCCCATTCTATATCAGCTCATTTTCTTCCTTGTACCTTCAGTAACAATTCCTACGGCAACAAAAATAAAATAAATTGGAGGAATATTTCTGCAAGCTGAAGGATCAATATCAATTCAAGGAGGAGTTCATAATGACCTTATGTGAGACAGAAATGGAAATACTCTGTACTTCTGGCATGTTTCTCTTCAAAATATTTGGAACATTAGTGACAATATAAAAAAGTTTGCTGACTGAGCTGATCAATGGAATGTGAAGGCAGTTTACTTTAAGGCTATTTACTTTCACACGGATTATTTATCTATTAGTCAGTCTGCATTCTACTCAAATGCAGATAGATGGGCAAAATGTTTTCTTGAGGATTACAAATCTACTGAGGGGATAATCAACCATCTGACTAAAATACATAGGCTAAACACCATCTGAGTGTTTAGCTGGTCTTTACCAGCTATTTGGAGGCTATGCTCTGTATAATGGTACAAGGTCATATTTAGGTGTTTTTTTTTCCTTAGGATTTTTTCACTAGGGGATCATCTAATCAAAAATATCCAAATTAACTACTATGTTGATATGTTAATATGTTGCAAGTAAATTTGGGGATCCAACCAGGGTGTTCACTATCCACAACTACATATGACTTCAGGTAAAGAGATGTTCTTGTAATCCCACTGCATTTCTCTCTGAAGCACTCTGTTGTGAGGGAGAGTGCATAACTCAGATCTGAAGGATACACTTTGTCACAAAACAAGGCCACCAAAGGTTCTAGGGCCTGCTACCCTTTCACTTACACCAATCTGAAGGTAGTATAACCTTGTTGACTTAGAGGAATTACTCATGATTTTTGCCCTTGTTAGGAAAGTCGTCCCTCCAATGTATAATAATCTATGTCTGTTGGTTTTCATCATGAGCTCTGAAAGCTAACCTTGTCCTCACAGCACTAACTCCTTCCATCTCGTATGTGTGCATGTGTGTATATAATATTTATATGTGCATACACACCATGTCCAAACAATGGCTTTGTCTCTTTACTTAAAAAAAAAAAAAAAAAAAGTCATTTAATCATCTGCAGAATTATATGAAGCACATGAGTAAACTTGGAGATATTAGTATTTCAGAATTCAAAAAAACCCAGCTGTGCTGGTGACTAACCAATACATGAACTGAAGCTCACACTCTGCAAGGACCTTTGGTTGACATTCGATTTTGAACCTGCCAGATGCATTTTTGTGAACCAGGGATACTGCATCTTTAATGAACAAGTCTCTACTCTTTCCCCTGTTTTTAAATACAACACAAGCAGTGTAGCACTAGGCACTGCAATTGTCAAAGACAATTAGACTGAAAGCAGGAAAATTTCACCTCCCTGTCTCAGTGATATGTAGAATGTCGGCA